TTGAAATATTCACTTCTGAATAATAATAACAAAATAAAGATAAACAATTTATTTGTTTTTCTATTTTCTTTATTTTTATTCATTTAAGCATCATTGAATTAATTAAACAAGAATATTACAATCATTTAAATAGTATTTGTTGATTGAATGTAAATATAAGGAGGAATATAATATAAATAAATAGGATAAATAAGAGATTAGTTTGTCTTTCCCAACTCTCGCACAATTGAGTAGCACAAATCCTGGTTAACGCCAGTGAAGGCTCCCAAAGCACTGGTTGACAATAAACACTTCGGTGTTACCCTCTGCTCTATTGCACAACCGCGGTATTGATACTCAACTCCCTTCTCTCTTATTTATCTGTTTTTTTCTTTTCTTTTTTTTCTTTAAATATTCAAATCATCACAATTCATCAAACAAAACAAAATATAACAAATAAATATTAATCAATAAGAAAATATGAAACAAAAATAAATTAACAAAATGAAATATGAAACAAGAAATGAATAAACAAAAATGAAATAAGAATGATAATAACAAAATAATATAATTATTGACATTTATTTATATATTCACATTTTGTCAATGTATTCTATTCTTTTTGTTTTCTTTTCTTCTTTTTTCTTTATTACATATTTGTTTATGTTTTAAATCTTCATTTTTACTATCATTATATATTCATTCTTTTTTATTTTTTTATTTTTATAATTTATGAATAAATTATACATTCATTATCATAACTAGATTGATTTTATATCATTCTTCTTATTTATAATTTATAATTTATTCTGTATTTCTTTAATTTATTAAATAGTCTGTTTGTCATATTTTCATTTTGTATATAGTTTCATCATTATTATATGATTTTTACTTGATATTTGGAATATAGTATTTCATATTCTAATTTCAGTATCATTTTATTAATCATTATTATAATTAATTGTAATTAACACATTTTTTGATTTATAGAATGAGTTTGTAATGTGTATTTTCTATATTTTATTCATTATTTCTTTTTATTTACTCATATTTATTATTTCTTTTTATATCTTTTCATCTTTTTTCTTTTATTAAATATGTGATAGAGTTGTTGTATTATTTGTATTCCATATATTGTTTATTTCTTGTATATTTATCATTGTATTTGAATTGATCATCATTATCATTATATCATTCTTTTACATGTTTAAAGTCTTTGTTAATTTTTATTCATTTATTATTTTTATCATTTATATCATATTCTTGATATTCATTTTGTATTTCTATTATTTTATTCTATTTTCCATGATTTCATTTTCAAATACATTCTACGTATTCTTTTTTTAACTTTCATCAATTCATTCACTCTATTATTTCTATTTTATTGTTGTTTATAATTTATTTCTATAAATATTTCAAACCATACCGTGTTAATTATTTTTCTTATTTCTTTGTAGTTTGGTATATTTAATCTTTTTTTTTTCAGATTCAATACAATATTTATTGTCATCTTTTTGTTATAAAATCAATCTATATATTTTGTATCATACTATTAATGTTTTGTTATATTATGTATATTTTTTTAACTCAATTGTTTATTATTTCATTTGTTCATTTTTATTTATTTCCATTACTTCATATTTCTTTTCATAGTTATTTTATCTTTATTATACAAACTTGTATGTTATTTATTATTTCTTCTACAATACTCTCGTATATCATTATTCTTTTATTTTGTTAATATTTGTTTTATTATTCTTCTTATGTTATTTGCATTTCATATATTCTTTTGTTTTCTATTTATTTTCATTTCTTCATTGCAAACTATTTATTATATTTCTATATTAATACTCTTTGTTGATTTTGTATAACTCCAAATGCCTTTTATTTATTCTCAATGATTTATTAAAATACTATCATTTATTGGTATGAATATGAGAAAATCAATCACTTCGCATTATTCATATCCATCATATATCATTTTTCATTTTATTAAAATTATATATTATTTATTTTCTTTCATCTCCTATTTCTTATTTCATTTGTATCTTCTTGTATGTTTTAGTATTTATCTATTTTATTAACAAATTAATGTTTTACACTATCATATTCTTTCATACTATCATTATATTTTTATATCTTTTTTAATTCTAATAGTTTGTTTGTAATATTATCGTTTAATTAAACATTCTTTGATTAACATAATAATCTTTTACATTAATTTGTGTTACTATTATATGTTTTATTCTTCTTTAATAAATATTATTCATTTAAATGTTCAATAAATGAAGTAAATACTTTTAATATATAACTTAATCATGTATTATTTTGTATTTTTTATACCTTATTTCATAAATTCATATATTCATTCATTTTAATATTCCATTTTTTATCTCTATCCATCTTTAATTTATTCATTATTTATTTCTTTTATTCATCATTTATTTATCTTTCCAAACTGTTTATGTGTTTTCTTTGTTTGTAACTTCTATTATTTCTTATTTGTGTTTCTTTATTCTCTATCTTATTATCAATACATTCAATAACCCTGGAAAAAGGAGGAAATGTCTTTGAAATTAAGAATTAAATTCATGCTAAACGTAGTTAAAGGAATTTTCATATCTTCTTTTAAATAGAATATTACATAGAGACGTTGAACTAGATACTTTCATTATTGTATCACTTGAAGATGGTATTGAAGTTAATTGTAAACTAACAAAGTGTGGAGCATCAAGAAACATTAAATATGATGTTGACAAAGATGACATTTATAAAAGGAATAATAATATCAAAATACATTGTACCAGAGGTGTTAAATCGAGAACATTACAAAATATAGTCAGACATATATTCATGTTTAACAAGAGGTATGCAATAAATCAAAAAATTTCTGATAAAAAAGGAGAAGAATATAAGAATTTTCATAATAAAAACAAGTCAAAAATAAACTAGTAATAATTTTAATAAGTAAAAGGATGTTAAGTGAGGTTTAAGAAAAAGATAAAAATAATTAATCGTTAATATATAATATTTTTCAATAATTTTTACAAAACAACAAAGAATAATAATCCCATAAAATTTTACTTTTATTTTTTGTTAGTAAACATAATAGCATTAAAAAACACTCAAAATAAGAAGCACTTTGACTTTGTTTTCTTACTTTCTTTAATATTAACATTAGCTTTTCCAGAAAGTTGTTTTGAATTTCCTTCTAATTTTTTAACAACTTCATTGATTAAATAGTTAAAAGCTTCAGCAATGTTAGTATTTGTTTTAGCACTAACTTCCATAAAATGAACGTGCTGACAATTTGCAAATGACTGACCTTCTTCAGTACTAACTTGTTTTGGCATATCACATTTATTACCAACTAATAGTCTAACTGCACTTCCAGCAATTTCAGCTTCAGTTTCAGCTAACCAATTTTTTGTACTTTCGAATGTCTTTTTATCAGTACAATCATAAACAATAATAACAGCATGAGATCCTCGATAATATGATTGTGTGATTGTATGAAATTTTTCTTGACCAGCTAACATAAAATATAAATGAGTTCTTGTAAAAGAAACATTAGAAGATAAAATAACAAACCTGTGTCCCACTAAATGAGTTAATTTGATATTTCTATGAAATGAAATACTAATGTCTTATTTGGTTTGACTATAATAATAAAAAGTAATCTTTTCATTTTGATGAGAAATCCTCGAAGATTTATAGTCTTAAAAAACCATTTTTTTAAAGAAAGAAGAAAACTAACAAACGACTTGAATTTTTAATCGTTTTCCGTTTACTTCCATTTTTTTAACTTTAAAATCAACGCCAATAGTTGCAATAAATGCATCTGTAAAAGTATTATCAGTATATCTCAAAAGCATTGCTGTTTTACCAACAGCTGTATCTCCGATAATAAGAAATTTTAACAAATAATCCCAATCTTTTTTCTCAGTCATTTTAATTTTATAGTTCCATCACTTTATTATTTTTTTTCAAATATTTGAATATTCTTCTCTGAAAGAATCTTCTCTTTTTTCTATTTTTAGTTTTTGTTTTATATCACTTTATTTATCTAAACGTTTTTGAAATTAAACAATAACGAATTAAGGAAGATTAACTAGACAAGTTGTTTCAGAAAAAGTCCTATTTTCTTTTGTTGTACCTCCTTTTCTTTTACCACCAAGAAATTTTTGTCTCAGTTCTGGGTTATAAGTTTCACTCCATGAAATAGCTGTTGGAAGATGTTGTTTATAAGATTGATTATTTGGAGAAGAAGGAAGTTTAGAAATAGGAGCAACAAAACCTTTAGTTTCTGGAAAACCATGAAAACTACAGACATATTTATTTGTTTCTCCTTTTGTAGTTTTCATTAAGACATGAGTTAAATGACTAGAATGAGGTTTGGTAGTATTAGATTTTGATAAACCTCTTTTATAAGTCTTTTCAACTTGGCTCATCCTTTCTTCTTGTTTCATCAATTTATTTTGTTGTTTATAACTAACTTTAGCTAATTCACAAAGCTTTTCATCTGAAAGGAGAACTTTATCAGTTTTCATGAAGAAGATACATTTAAGAGTTTCAGGACAATAATCTCTAAGAATTAATCTTCCACAATAATTACACCTAAACCATTCAGTATGATAAAAATATCCTTCAGAAAATGAACAAGGCTAGTCGTGTTTTATTTCTTCAAAACAAAACTTACAATATACAACATTTTCTAAGTTGATTTTTAATTCATTCGTAATATTATCAAGAGTTTCTAGTGTATATTCTATTTTTGAATAATCTTTTAATAATGAACATAATGAAGTTAATTGAAGTCCTTGTTGAATTTGTTCTTCTCTGTCTTCAAAAAATATATAACAACATTTGACTTTGTTCAAAAGGTTTCGTGAAAGTATAATTTTCTACAGTAATCTGTTTTAAATATTCTTCATATTTTTCCATTTGAAAGACAGCACTTTGTTTTTGAGAATCAAATTTTATATATTTTTGATATCCATCAAATATAGAAGCAAAGAATTTATGGAAGAAACAATAAAACAGTTCATTTGAATTTTCATCTAAATTATGTAGAATACAAGTTCATGCAACTTTTAAAAAAGTAGTTTCATTAGAAATAAATACTAATGGGAAATTTAGTGGATGGTTATTTAATAATTTACCATTGTCCACTTCAAGAACAATTGTATCATCCATTTTACCACAGTCTTTATATACATTTGGCAAAAAATTATTTTTTACTCCAATTATATAAAGCATAGGTGCAGCACAATATTTCAATAATGAAAGTGGTAAAACAGGAATATATACATGTTGCAATTGGAATGAAGATATTAAAGACGTAAATACAATAATAAATGTTGATAAAGATTGAATTGATTGACTTACAAAAAGAAATTTTCTTTCGACCAGCAAATACCCAATAAGATCAACAAGTGCTGAAGCACCAAATGTTTTTAATAATATTGATACATCATAGTTAGAATGATCATTTAATTCATCACTATTAATAACTTGATAAGGAAAGTAATGAAATGAAATATTTGATGATACTTCATTAGCCAATGAGATTAGTTGAAGACAAATATCATCAAGAAATTATTTCATTATTTCTATTGATAATAATTGTAATTTTTTAGCTATTTTTAATATTTTTTTCAAATAAATATGTTAATGGTTTTATTCCAATAATACATAAACATTCTGCTTCTTCAAAATGTGGAAATATTAACCAATATGCATATTTTCTTGTTCCATTTACATCTGCTAACATAACCGTAAAAATTTCTAGAATTGTTGGTTCAAATAATAAATTTCTTTGTGTTAATACTGTTTTACCTCTGAAAAACAAAATGGAAAAACCGTATTTTATTGATTAATATATCATACAATATGTTGGTCAACACACTTCTCATTTATTTCCCCCATCAACTAAATTACATCTTAATAAAATGATATATTCAACCAATCTCTCTCGGATATTGCTTATTTATTAAGTTTTTCTCTTTTTTTCAATAAATTTTATTTCATTCTTTTTCTTTTATTTTTTTTTCTTTTCTTTTTAATAATCCTCAAACACTTTTCTTCTTTTTTTTTTGAACTTATTTTCCGTATTTTCTCAATAATAATATCTTAAGATTATTATTTTATCTAAAAACGACTTGTATAGTTTATTATTATAC